AGAAGCGGCTGGCTCATTGGATCTCTCGTTGGAAGGGGTTCCATTGCTTGCCCGCGCGAGTCGATCAATAACCGATAGTCGGGTTTCTCAAATAAGGGGGCATAGTAAGGGGACAACAGATACACGACAATCTTTTTTTTTTGTTGGATCTGGATAGACAGTAGCGGCGACCCAGTATATCATAGCAAAGGTTCTTCTTCTGAACCTATATTGTCGCCTTTCTAGAACAACAGAAAGCGTTTGATCTTATTCTTAATATTATGCTTTCTTCAGATGTCCGTGAATGTTAAAGGAAACACGGCAGATTTTATAGGTTGGTGCAGGTTAATTAAGAGTTGAGTTTTCTCCTCTTTGAATAAAAGTTATTTATGGTTGTTGCATATTTGTTGTACAGCAAGCAATGTGCAATGCTTACAAAATGTTCTTACATATCTGGCTTTCAATATAAAAGCTGACAAAAAAGCTAAAATATAATATACACATTCGTACCATTCGTAAGAAAGTTATCACTACTGTCTAAACCGGTAGCCAATCCCTGCTGACCGTAACACCATGAGAACGACAGGGTACCTGCAAGCTTGCATATGTTGAATATTTGCAATTCGAAAATGCAGACACATCAACAGTTTATTTGCATGGCATTGAGCCCAACATGTAACTGAAAAAGGGGCCATCGGGAATTTCCCATCTCCAATTCTTGCAAACATGTTTAAGTAATGTGTTGCAATGTGCTTTCAAGGCTGACACATTTCCAATTGTGCGCTCTGCAAAATGCGACTATTTTGCATAATTTTAATGCATCTGTCAACGTTTTGTTCGTTCACTTAACTCGCAAACGGACATCAGCTTGCCAATCAGAAAATGCTTAAATTAGCCTCTCTCCACAGCAGAAAACTAAGTAAGAGGCTAAGGCGAATGTTAGGTTCGGCGTTACGTACTGTTCCACTCCATGAAATTCCAGGCGCGATTTAACTGGTGTTACCGTTCTGCCAACTAAAGGAAAAACGAATTTATTATCACAATTACACGCTCAGTGGCAGGAAAAATGCAAAAAACGTATAAAGAGTACTATAAAAGGGCATTTCCGTTCGATTCAGTGCCTGAAGTGTTGCGAAAGGAAAACCAAACCAATTAAATGAAGACGTTTGCAAATAAAGGCCATAAATCTGCGAGCAAATGTCTGCCTCTGTCTGGATTGCACGAGGTGCGAATTGACAATGAGTTTCACGGGGAAATTAAAACTTCAAGTCAATTTTAAAGTAAATATTTAAACTTTCTAAATAAATACGTCATACGTCAATCATTGGCACTAGCATGTGCGGAGCATTCACAGAAATTTAAAGGGAGTCAAAAAACAAAAAGACAGGAGACTTCCTATCTTCAAAAAGAAACAGTGCCTCAATAGATAGTTACGTCTTTCAAGTTGTAGAAGATTTTGTCTATCTAGGCACCAGCAATTACAACAACAATGACGCCATCTTGGAGATTTATCCGTCGAATAACCCCTAACAACCGGTGCTACTATGGGTCTATTAAACCTTTTATGTGTAGATCTCTTTTCGAGAGAAGGATCCTGAGATAAATCTTCGGCCATGAGCTGTGTCATGTCATCCGCATGGATGTCAATACTCCGGGCAAAAAAGGTATTAAATTCAAACTTGAATGGTGAACAACGCAGAAGAGGGTGCCGAGGACTATTGACAAAGTTCTTTGACACATATAGTGATTGATTTCCTTGCCAATATAAGCTCTGCCTGGCATATTTACATTACGAAGGTAAAATACACTGCCACCTATAATGATATATTCCCCAATCATTTAAAACCAGGGACCGTAAATAATGAAAATCATTCACTTATTGTAACTTTGAGAAAGCGAGGAGTTTACAGATAATAAATCTATGCATTTTAAATAAATCACGAATAAATCATGGTTTATAAATTTTAATTTTTATTTATTCGCTTACAATTTAATGATTAATGTTGACATTTACTTTGAAAAATAACCAATAATCATTATTGATGAGCAAAAAAATAAAACTTATAAAATAATGATTATTTTTTTGATCAAAAATAAGGATTAAGGAAAAATATATATATATATCCTTAATCAGTGAGTCCAAGCAAACATTTTTCATTAATTAATTTTTAATCAATGAATTAATTAATTTTTGATCAAAAAAATAAAACTCAAAGCATAGTCATTATTTTAGCTCTTGCGAGATAATTTCATTCATACAGACGGGCGGACAGACAGACAGACAGGCCTATATCGATTCGTCTTGACAGTTTGATCAGGAATATATACACTTTGTGGGGTTTGCCACGCCTCATTCTGCCGGTTACATACATACAATCGCATTTGAGAATTTAAAAATAATAAATTAATTAATTAAAAGTTAATTATTGAAAAATGTTTACCTTGACTCACTGATTAGGGATACATATATAGAAAGCATAATCAATTTTATAAGTTTTATTTTTGTACTCAACAATAATAATTATTAGTTAATTTTTAAAGTGAAACTCAAAATCAAAATCATTAATTTGTGATCAAATTTAAAAATAATAATTTTTAAATTTTTTAAATAACACAATAATTACAGTACCTGTTGAAAATAACATTTAAATTATTGCTCATTGAAGGGAAACAAAGGTCAGTATCGTACACAAACTATTTTCTACGAAATTCCTCTGAATATCCTAACATACTTTTAGACCAAATTTGATTGTTAATAGGAGCATAAATATTGGTATAATTATTAAAAGTTAAATTTATATACTCATAAAATCATGTCCATAAATTAGTATTCATTTGAAAACCAAAAGCAAGCACTCCTTTCGAAAGTTGCGGAAATTAGAAGAGATCAGATTCAGTAAATGGCCTTCCCGCGTTTATCCTTATAACCTTGCATGTTAATAAAAATCGCAGATTTCAAGGTTAGTACAACAACTATCAATTTATTTTTGTTTGTTTGCATTTGAAATTGTTTAGTTTTTTAACGACAGGTTTGCAAATTATTTTAATTTCTCATTAGTACTTTATGATAGTAACCATAATAATTTGATAATAATTATGAACGCATTTAACTTTGCAAATTCACAAAAAACGCAATTAGACACAATATTTAATAGTATAATACAATTTGATTTAACCAGTTGTAAGTTTTTGTTAGCATAATTAAATGAAGACACTCTTCTGAAAATGAAATAAATGCTTAAACAATAAATTATGTTTAAAAAGCGCGGAATATAAACTTTAGTACTGAATATGCATTAAATGTTGTTAGAAGAGCAGGAGACGAGAACAGGACAGGAATTTATTGGGAAGTAAACGAGAACCTACTGTCAATAGAAAGTGGCAAAGAGGAATGCATACCCAGAAAATAAAACCAGAAATGTGTTATCTTACAGCTGATATAAATATATGTATACTATAATATAAACATTTTTCAAAAATATATTATAGCAGCTCAATATGTTTGTATTTGTGTGGTTAATTCAATGGCGCCTGCCAAGCCTTCGAAGTCTTATCAAATCTATAAATGGCCTAAATTTACATTAGTAGTACAATTTTGAATTGAAATAGTTTTCATATTCATATTAGAGTTTCTGAACTTTGGATTACAGATTAAGTTGAAGGCGCAGCTGCGGCTAAACTGGAAATTGTTAAGTTAATTTCATTGTGTAATGTTTAACATTCAATAAAAGCATATTTTATATTTTTAGACTTTTTGGGTTTAATGTTGAATAATATATCTGTTCACTTATTCGTAATTGAGTGTATTTTGCATTAAAAGTTAATTATTGTTTAGCCTTGAATGTTGTAGCTCTGAGTTTGAAATGTTTACCATTCTGATTCTAATTCAAGACCCTCGAGTGTAACTAGCGGCACAATGTATGAGGAATAGGGGGAATTCTAATAAATTGAAATTTCTGAAATCAAAATTGAAACCTGTTTCGGTGGGTTTTAATCGATTGTTTTTAACTTAAAGCACAGTTTTAGCTCCCGGTTTATCAAATCATTCTTTTCGGGTGTTAAATAATGTGTTAATCGATTGACTTTTGAAACCAACGATAAAAATTGCATCTGCTACACTCGAGGCGGGCATTTGATTGTTGCTTCCAAAGATTCCTTTCAAAAACTTATGTTTCGCTTATGTAAGTATCTTGTGTGGTTTATTAATAGTTAGTTGATTACTAATGTCTGTATATGCGTGGGTATCGACAACGAACAGCCACTCATGGCTGCCAACATTTAAGCAAGAAAAAAACCAATATCTTCGGCTTGCCGAAAATCATTACCCTTGCAAACCTTTTGAGCTCATTTCTCCTAAGACAGCTATACTACAGGGCTAGACATAAGTGTAACATTTCAAATATGAAATTGAAGTGATGCTAGCTTATGAAATTTTGTTTAAAGACAAAACTTTTCTTCGGCTACGATAAGTAGTAGCATGCCGATTAGGTTCAGGTATGTGTGTAGACATTTCTATCGACCGATGGTTTCTATAGTTAATATATAAAGACATTGTGCCCTTAGATATAAGCACTATTTTAGATAAGTACGGTTATATCTCTACCGACTTATTTCGTCAGACTGATCATACATGTGGATCTTTGATCGTTATAATGTACATCAGACTAATGCGACTTTTATTTGCAAGGGTACATATACACAAAAATGTAGCTTGTAACTTGTACTTTTAACAACATGCACAAAAAAGTATACATAAATAGATATATACAAAAAGTTGAATATCACTTGGTTTAGTATGTATATTAATTTTGTTCTGTTTTTTGTTAAGGATATTACTTAAAGATCAATTCTCTTGCATGACATGGTTTTTACAATGAGCTTCAACAAAGACCATTAAATTTGTTAGCATAAATATGATAATACAATTTATTACCTAGAATTCGGCATAGTGTCTAAATTTCCTTGATTTTTTTACAAACTTGTCCAATATTTGCAATTGGAATAAATTCGATATACATTTGTATGTTTTTGGATTTATTTATTATGTTCTTTAATCGATTTGTCACTTCAATTGGGATTCCATTAATTTTATTATTCATTTTATTATCTTAGTTTTGTTGAGGTTCACATATAGTTTAGGGGTTGATATTATTTAATTTTTACAACAATTTTAATTGCAATCCGTATATATATAGTATATATTTGTTTTTATTCCATATGAGAAATGTAATGTAAGTGTACTGCTTAAGACTCATGAATAAAATATTTATAATTACAAATTTCCATAATGTATATATTTATTATTTAATATGCATTCATTAACGATAATTCTAACACTTTAGTATCATATTGTACATAGGCCATATATAAATATATTTAATTATTGTTCAATTTTATTTGAAAAATAGTTTTAACATTTACGATTTAGGGTTTCCTTCTCCATCTTCATCTTTAAGTTTGTTTTGTTTTTGTTTTCAATAAATTTTTGTTTACGTTTACGCTTCCATTAGATGTTACAACTTAAATTTAGCCTGCACATACATATACATATATCGTATATATCTGATTTACAAATACAAAAATATTCATTACACTAAGTACATACGTAGGTATGTTTTGGAAAATAGTCGCTCTTTCAGATTAGCTCTGTCACTGGGGACAGTGGCTTTATAAATATAAGTATGTATATAATTTGGAGTTACATTTAAAATGTTACTCAGAGTTGTTTTGGCGCAGGAAACATATTTGGCACAAATTCAGTTTTAAATACAAACGTTTCTGCACATAACTAACTATACAGTTTAAATACAGTATTATAAGTATAGTATATGAAGAACTCTTTCCTTTTGAAATGTTTATGCACAACTCTAAGGTCGAGCTAGGTATACAAAGGTACACGGATTCTCGCTGGATTTTGTTCTTTACTCAATCCTCTATAATATACTTCTTAGAATTCACAACTGTGGTGGCACAGTAGGGGTTCAGGCTTCGTTTACACGATTTGTTAAAATCATGTGAAAATGTTCAGAATGTTTTCAAAACTGCAAATGCTAATTAATGCAAAAAACTAGCACTATGAGTGTAAACACTTCTTCAATACTTGTCTCACATGTTTCAAACAAGTCGTGTAAACGATGCTGCTGGCGCAGTTATTTGCGTGCGCCTATTGGTATGCTATACTTTTCGTTTTTTCGCGTTAAACTCATAAAAATCACGGCAGTCTACTTTCAATTTGACACAAAATTTTGCTTTGCTACATTATTTGTTTATTAAATATGTATGCTGAATGTCGTCGGTTGGTTTACTGATTGTATTGTATGTGGTTAGTGTCTATAATGGTTCTGTTTAACAACTGTTGTAGTGTTTGTTGTTGTTGGTTTGTCGATGACCGCGTGGCCATTTGAGCCGATCTCAGTTGTTGTTTTTCCATCTTGAAAGCAGTAACCGCCAGCGATTTTTACGTCGTCTGCTTCAAATTTGCCATATTAATAAATGATTGGTGCTGTCCTCGCGTCCAGCGATCTCGCTCAACGAATTGGCGCCGGAATTGCGAAAATCTTCGTAGCCATCGCCCCCGGATATGATGAGTATGTTATTTGTTTCCGATTTCGATTTGGAGTGTTTGATGGAACTATAAAGAATGATGTCGATTTATTTTCAATTCTGTTGCTGATATTTGATATTCCATCAAACATACCCTTGTTTAGTGTACTCGTCACTGGTTCCGCCACCGCTTTCCCGCCCTGCTGCCGCCGCTGACGCTGATGCAGATGACGATGCTGTCTGCGTTGTACTGCTACCCTCCAGTCCTGTGGTCTCTACAAAGGTCAAGAATCGCACATGGCCTGTATGGCCATGCGGTATGCCAGTGGGTACAATATTTATGGCTCCCTTCTCATAGCCCTGAGCCGGTATGGTCAACAGTACGCCTGCACTGGTGCCTATCCAAATGAGATCCTTGCAACAAAGCAAGGAGGTCACTCGCAGACAGGCAGCCTTATGCTGACGAATGATCTCGTCACAATTCGACAGCATTTTACTAACGGCGGGTGCAAGATTGACTTCGATAATTAGCTGGTGGCTGAGAATAGAGAAGAAAGGAACGTCACAAATCATGTGAAATTTTATTACTTTTTATAGAGTTCACTTACGTAGTGGAATGAAAACATTTAATATATGCTGAATTTTGTATAGATATCCAAACACAATTGCTCGATACTGTCATATTTGTAATTGGCTTCGAGTCCGATGAGATTTGTATTTGATTAACAACCTGCAAAACGATCATATCATGGGTTAAATAAAAGTGTGTTACATGCATATTTATTTGACCATAATGGTGTAGCCAATGCAACTTCTGAACCATTGATATAGTATTTATAAATGTAACATAGCTCTGATTCTGTGAGCTTAATCAAGAAACAACATCAGTGACTTAAACTTGATGCTCTGAATTTAAAAATAGGCGTTCGCAAAGTAAATGAGATATGCAAAGATTTCAAAGCTAGCTAGCTCTGGGCCGCACTTGTATACTGAACATAGGATACATTCAATCAAGTATTCTATAAATTCTATTATGCTATAAGAATTCAAATCGTTGTTCATCAATTTTGAAAGATAATTATTATTTCAAATATTTTCATAATACTGGTACCATCCAATTGATAAATTTTCAAAGAAGCCTGTCTAGCAGGCTACCTTATCTTTGAAATAAAGTTGGGGATTAATTGACATAGAGCTTATATTCTTCAGGGATTTCTGTAATACGCCGGTTGAAATTCGAATTATGTTTTAAATATAACACAAATTAAATTATTAGCGACACAATTTTATGGTGGATCTAATTATATTCATACTTTCGTTTACAAACATAAAAATAAAATCCGCTTACCGACAGAGTTTCAATGTCCAAAACCTTAATGATGCCTTGTATGGAGCACCATAACTTGCCGTGTACGTTGAGCAGCTTGGTCACAGGACTCGTGACCGTGCCAATTGAGAGACAATGTGAGGAGCAGGTATTCCAGGATGAAGCTGGACAAGTAGAGCATTTGTAAAATTGTTTCTTTTGAAAGTGTACTGGGACTTACCGCCATCTCGCAGATAAACACAGATATCACCGTTTGCTAAAGACACAAAGACGCGATTGTCCAGGTACCTACAGCCATGGAGAGACAATTAAGCGATGCAGGTGTTTAAAGCTAAGGCAGCTACTTACAAAATGGAATATACAGCCGAGTGATGTTCAATCTTAATGCGATTCTTCTTAATGCGAATGTTGTCAGTGCTGTTGTAGACATGAATGCAGCCATCTTCGGTGCCAATCCACATGGTTGATTGATTACACTCGCCTTCCTCGGGATTTGAGTCCTTGAAGCGCACAATGCAGCCGCAAATACAGACAGATTGAAGAAGATACGTGACGATGTAAAAATTTGAGATGAAATCATTTCTAAAGACATATATATGTTAATATTTAGACTCACTTGATGCGCATGGTAAGCGCCGGTGGCGTGCATTGAGGGTGCGGGACTGGGAACACGTTCCAGCAGAGCGCTGCCGGTGCTGCCAGCACTGCTGCCGCTTGTGCCGGCGGCATTAGAAGCGGCAGCAGCAGCAGCCGCCGCAGCAGCTGCAGCATCCGTCTCATCATCGCTGGAGCTTAAATTTAAATCTAATTGTGTATCACTGTTGGCGGTGGCACTGGCGTTGGCAGCGGTGGTAGCCCCTGCACCATTGCCCGCTGTGGGAGTGGGCGTCTTCTTTTTCTCGGGCGTGGCCGTGGCTGAGGATGCTGAAGCGGGCTGGTAGCTGGGCGAGATGCTCTTGCGATAGTCACGCAACTGCTGTGTGTAACTGTGCTGTGGTGTGCTGCGTGAGACATGCTGTGTCCCCTGAGGCTGTCCTCCTCCGGCCGCCTGCTGTTCCCCAGCACTGCTGCTGCTCGCCGCACTCGCACTGTACGCCGGCACCGAAGCCACACACAGAATGCGAGCATTGCAGACACCATTGCAGCTGGTGACATTCGGCTCGGGGTGCAGGGACATGATGCACACCTGGCCCACATACCCATCGCTGTTGCAGACCCATACGTCGCGCTTGTCGCTCAGTGTGGCCGCCGCACATGTGAATTGCAGGCCCGCTCGCGTCTTACGTATGGGTATGGAGGTGAGAAACTCGGGTATGGGATGACGTTCCATGGTCGCGGCTGCCGTAAGGAGATCAGTTATAGTTTCAATTCTGGGGCAGATAGAAAAGATTTTTCTGCTTACCCAGTTTCTGTTTCGCTTCGTTGAACGTCTCCTCCCATTGGGTGCGCTTTTCGGTTTTGCTGAAGACCACCGTCAACTTTTGACTGCCATTGCTGCTGAAAGGAAAAATATATTACCACTTTACCAGAAACTGTTTGGAATGAAGGCTACATAGGTTACATAGAGCGATTTATTTGATTAGATTTTTGTTGTTACTTAGGCTTTCCTAGCTTATAAGATTCTATTTATAATTTTCATATATTATGTCGACCGTCAATGTTTGTTGACATAAATATAAATAAATAAATAAAATAAGACATATATGTCCATAACCCGACATTCCAACGTCATAGCAGACATTGTTTAGTTATAATTTATAATAAGATTTGGCGATATCATAGGCTCCTTGCCTCTACATTCCTTTAAAAAAAAAACATATTGGTTGGAAAGGAACTAAGAAGTTCCTTTTACAACATGTTTATTCATTTGGAATGCAGAATCATTTGCAGAATAATTTGCTACCTTTAACTGAACGCACCTAAAAAACTAAATTAAAAACCAAGCTTAATAACCAGAAGAAGATTGTAAGTAAACATATACTCGTACTTATTGGCTTCAGCTAAGAGTATCAATTATATCGAAAAACATACCAGCTTGAATAATCAAATTTAGGTGTTCAGATTTTTCTATTTCTGATACGTCTATTTCATACATGTTTATTTCATCATTTAACTAAATTAAATTATTAAACTCAAAGTTTATTACATTTTTGTTTTTATTGGAGGGAGTATGCAGATTATTTAAAATGTTGGCCCGCTCCACTATGAAAGGGAATTTTGATTAGCATTTGGGCTGCGCGTTGATTGCCAATCGGCAAATAAATAAATTTAATTTAAAACATACATATGTATGCATATGATACAACTGTAAATCTACAGAAAAATATAAAGTGTTAATCGCACACACACGCACACACACAACCCATTCGTTCATATACGTGTATACTGAGCAATACTAAGTGTGCAACAAATATTGCACGTTGCCCAAAAAGTAACTGCATCAACAAAAAATAAAGTTAATTGAATTGGGTTTCTATATCTATTATTGATTTCATTTTGTATTTTAATCATAAAATTCATTTCATTTGAATGATATATGATATATATGATATATATATATATATATATATATATATATATATATATATATATATATATATATATATATATTTCATTTACTTTCAAGCACGTTTATATATCTAAAAACTTTTAAATGTTCAATTTTGTTTTAAATTGTAAAGAACAATAATCTTTATATGTATCTTTGGCTTTCTATTTAACTTTGGTGTGACGTGGTAATTATGGTAATGGTTTTACCGTATATAGCTACGCCAGGCTGATCATATTAATTTCAGTCTAGCTCTGATTGCCAAAGCGGTTTTGTTGACTAAAATCGGAGCTACCAGGCAAACATAAGAATAAATAGAATACCTTGCCTAACTTTTCAATACCCTGTTTCCTACCCTACCACAAAACAAAGCAAACAAAAACTCTTAACTTAATTAGTTACAGTGAGTATGTGCGTTCATTGGTGTTTATGAGTGCCTTTGTGTATATTCCAACAACAAATATTAAAGGGCAAACATTGAGTGCCTTTGTGTATATTCCAACAACAAATATTAAAGGGCAAACATTAAAGGGGAAAACCGACAATGTCCTAATATGGATAATTGCCGCGGAGGTGCAGCCATTCGTTCTAAAATGTTAAATTATTGAAGCTTCTTTTTTCGATTCAATTTATTAAAAAAAAAAAAAATTAAAAAAAAAACAGTGGAAAAGTGTCCGCCAAAGATGGACACCTCCTTCAGGGAGTTTTCACTGTCGTAGTTAAAAGTTAAAATAAATTTCCAATAAGTTTAATGTTGTGTATAAATTGTTATGTTGGTGCCACATGTCTCTGTTAGTGTCACCCTTTCTGTTGCTGTTAACACAGCTGTTAGTGTCGCTGCCATTGGGACAATACATATTAAATGCGCGTTGTGATGTAAACGTCGCTGTAACAGCTGTGAGTACGAGTGTGACTGTTATTTGGACAACAGTTGCGAATGCTGCTAACTTTTAATTGATCTGCTGTAAAGCTTATATTTATAGCAATTAGTTAGTTATGTTGTCTTCATTTTGCTGGACTCCTTCAGCGCCTGCAGTGTATTGCAGGAAAAACTGCATCCAACTAGAAATGTGTCTTAAGTTTCCTAAACATAGTTAGAATTCCTAACATTTACAAGCATATACTCGTACATATGCTTTTATTATAGGTTTCGTGCAATTCAAATTAATTAATTATTTACAAATAACTTATACACTTACGTTGAGCTGACCGTCAGTTCGAGCATATTGAGTTGCGTGTCATTTGTCTGACGTTCCGATAATTGACGCTGCACATCGCGATGCAACTCACGTATAACATCTTCAAGATACTGATGCGGGAACTTCAATGACACCGTTATATCGGTGATTTGTTGCAATTTATTGCAGTCCTCGGCCAAGTTTTCAATTTCAGTAACGATGCGTTTGATGTTCTCATCCTTAGCTGCAATTAATTGAGTGAGACGGTAAAATAAATGTATTTTAAAATCCAAATCTCAACTTACACTTAACAATCTCTAGACAATCCAATGAAATTTTTGTCAGGAACTTATATTTGTTAGTATCGAGTGTACTGGCTACAGTGCCAGGACAAGTGCTGCTGTTCGGCTTCCGAATGGTGCCGCTGCGTTTCTTGATGCTTGTCAGGACCAGGAGATCATTGAACAGGAAGAATCCGCGCTCCTTACGCGCACCTTGACCAGATGGCATGGAAACCAGATCGAACAACAGGAACTGGCGATCGGGTGCTATCAAGTCTGTTATGCCCTCAATGACACCCTCCAATTCGCGCAGTGTAGCCTCGCGTTGCCCATTCTCCAGAATTTCCCGCTCCTTGCCATTGATGTGCACCAAAATGTCGTGCACCAGCTTCAGTACATCTTGCAAATGTTTTTGATCTGGGTGATCGTGATCGGTGTGCTTTATGAGCCGTGTGAATAGCAACTCAAAGCTGTGGCAAAACATTGATATGAATTAGTTACAGAAATCTTTTGGAACAGAACATTTCTCCATTATTTAATTTTCTTTAGATTTGCCTAAGTTCGAATTTATTTTAATTTCTTATTAAGAGATTTTTTCTAAGTTAACACTTACTTGGGAAACTTTTGGACCGGCTTGATCAACAAATTGTCCAGTGTTAGCTTTCCTTTGTGCTCACGTGACGTAGACTCGAGAAATTTGGCAAACGATGGTCGCTGATGTTTCATTGTACGTATAAGATTCTTGGCACGATTGCAATTGTTCACAAAAGAGGTATATACCTCCAAAACTTCCAGCTTTGAGAACTGCAAATATATTATGTTCAATATAAGATTCAATGATGTGTTTTTAAGGCATTCGTACTGTTTCCATGAAGGCGTCTCCCACTTTCTGCTGTGCATCCCAATCATCCAAGCGTTGCTTTAATTGAGCCAAAAATTTCTCATGAATTTCGAGCATATCGGGAACCATAAAGAATATTTCATCTACAGTGCGCGTATCAATCATGCCAGCATGTTCGGGTAATTTCAACACCCTTAGGTAGCGCACTACTACAGTTTGCAGGGCCTCCACGTAGGATTGCTCATTGCGATAGATTTCCTGTACCACATAAGTGCGTGTGTCCTGTAAGTGAATGAATGATACAGTTTTAATGAGAATCCGATTAGTCAGCCCGATTCTTGGGCACTCCCCGATACAGTTTTTTAACTAAAATGAAGTTTGTTGTAACCATCTATTGAAACATACATTTCTATGGACTGCAAATACATCGACTCGTACCTTCTTGGTTGATCATATATATTTACATATAACATGGGGTCTGTCATGCCTGCATCTACCAAGTTACTTGGCCGTAGTTGTAATACTGTTCGAAATCAACTAGCTCGTAGAGATGGATTAACATACAAACGGATTGATAATGTTTCTAATATTTTTACTATCATCTTTTAAGCTAAAACATCAGCATACTATCAACAATGGAATCCAATCTAAGATCAAACAGAATCAGTAAAGAATCCTGAGAAAATTAATTTAAAAAGTGAAAATGTATATTTTAATAATATTTGTGAGCATTTCGAATACTATATGATAAGTTTTTAAAGCTATAGTTGACTCGGTAGACAGAAATTATGTTAAATGGAATAATTTTTTTAGATTCAAAATTTTAATTCTGGCCATTGTAATGACGCGTTGCATAGCGGGCAGCCGCGCGTCATTACGAGTGGTCGTAAGAACGAGTAGAGACTAAGAAGCCATGAAGGCAAGTAATTTTAAGTAGTTTTTTAGTTAGTTCTCTTCTGGCTCATGCCCAACGCGCACTGAAGCGCTCTGTATCATTTTTTAAAATTAAAGAACCACGTGGAGAAGTTTTGGCATACCGCCCTCTTTTATTTGTTGGACACCTCGGCACTTTGGGGTGCCTAATTTACTAATTTACTACAGCATACTCTGGCCGGCGAGCATACCCGCGGCAGAGTAACAACGTTACACCATAGTTTTCCCGCTCTATAATAACGGCATAGCTCTTGTATATGCCAGCCATCCAAAACTTACTCCATCATAGCCGCCCAGATTCCATTTGCTAATATCCGTATACTGTGCTCGCCGCTCCGAATCATCTTCGGAATCGGAGCAGGTTATGGAGGTCATTTTCTTAAGCCTGTCACATTTGTCATTCTGATAGCCGGACACTGCCCCAAAGCCAGCCTTGCTCAATCGGGCCACCGTCGTGGTGGCCATTGAGACCGCTTGGGAGACGCTGCTGCTGTTGCTGCTGCTGGTCGAGGGCAGCGTGGGCGCTGCCGACAGTACCAGCGGCTGCGACTGCGACAGCGACGACTGCGTTGGCTGTTGTGTCTGGGTTTGTGGCAAGATGGCAGCGGCCACGGTGTTCGAGGGCGCGGTCAGTGTGGCTTGTAAGTCGAGCAAACTTAGGCGGAGATTTTCGCGATTATGCGACATTTTTTCCTTTTTTGTACAAATTTATTGAATGATTGATTGATTAAAGCGCTTGTTATATTTAGTTTTTTTGTTTTATTCCACTAGATTTGATTGCTTTGGAATTATTTTTGTTTTGTTTTTCTTTTAGCAACACTAACAAAAGCTACGTTTTCTTTTTGTAAAATTTTATTGTTCATGTAGTTTATTTAGGAAATTTTAACAGCATTGTGTTTGATGAGCTCTGCATTGCAAAAAGGGTGATTGTTTGTTAAAGGCGTAGAAACATTTTGAGTTTATCATATTTTTGGCTTCAATTATTATTATTATTATTTTTGAATGTCCTCTTCAAAGTATTTGCGTATTAATATAATTGTATATTTGCTGTGTTTACTTTTTTTATTCGATTTTCAACTATATTTGAAAATGTTTTTATTTATTCTTTATCCAATTTGTATTTTCTATGGACCTTATTACAACTATTTCAACATTTTTTTTATTCATATTGTAATGCAAGACGGTTTGTTTTTATTAAATTAAATTAAATGTAGCGATAACCTATTGAAATGTATCTAACTAATTTTATATCACGACCATTGTCTTAGATTTTCACTTGTTTTATAGCTAGACTGCATTCTACTAGAGTTTCACTTGCGCGGAATGGAATTTGATTATTTTTCCACATTTCCACTAATTCCAACTGCAGAAAATTGAATTTCTACTATTTGAAAAGAGAAAAAATATCACAACAAAAATATTTCATTTCATTTAACTATTCCTGTCTGAAAACGCAAGCCAATTATAGACAATTGAATAAAAGAACTTTTTTGTAAACTAATAGATTTGCAGAAAGCTTTATGCCAAGTATTTCAAAAATTAAAATAAACATCGTTTGAAATCTCATCATTTGTTAGGATAAGTATAAGGAAACTATGATATTTTAATTTTAAAATTGGTCTAATATTTTGAACAATCAATTCATATTTCCTGGAAAACACTTGATGAAAACGTTTAAGCTTTTTCAAAAATATTACTAACTTATTCAGTTTTGATTAAGGAAGGCGACAATACTGGATACAATTCGATTACATAGGTAAGGTAGAGTACTAGTATATACTCCGAAAATTCTTCAGGTACAAGTAAAGTATTTAACCCAAAGTGGATATAAAGTTTTCCCAGAAAAAAACATCTTTCTTTTCGGAATGATTACACTCATTCAAAGTAACTTTCAGATCATTAGCGCGTTCTTATAAAGTAAATTGTACTACAGTTTCGTACCTAGGTACGTACCTAACTATTTCATCTGCTGCATATTTGTATTAATTCGTATGACATTAAATTCCAACATCACCTATTCGTTATCTCATCATGCAAAAGTTTAAGTTCAAGGCTGCTGTGCATTTCTGCACACTATTCTATATGCACATGTCGTAGTGCTGTTTCAGAGTGTGCGCATGTTTATGTGTGTGTGTGTGTGTGTGTGTGGTATGACTTTGACAATTTGCCTTTAAGGCTGAGGTCAACAGTTTTGTAGACAAACAATTGCTGCTGCACTTAGGGATTTGAGACGAGAGGCAAACGCTTTGCATGCGAATAAAGAAAAAAATTGTAATGAGAGAGAAAATGCTGTGCATATTCAAGGATATGAGAAATAGTTTAAGCACTTCCGATTCACTTTCTCACAAGACCATGTTTTATGGCTCGATTGCCTGAATGCAGGCGATGCCTCACTTTACACACTCATCCAATAAAAGTTGTTCAGGCAATTCACATAAAAGGCAATGCCTGTAACTAAAATCACAAATGCGTTTTTAAAATATGCTCTGGCCTGGCTGAGCTGAGCTACGAAAGCTCCCCAGTTCTAAATAAAAATAAAAGCACGTCCGGCTTAAATGCGATGGCACTAAAAACTAAACACAGTCCCATAGCCAGCACCAGACCCACAGCTACTACTGCCAACGTCAACAACACATAAAACTCGCCTGCGTAGACGACGTCGTCATCATAATATACTTGTAGTCGGTCGCATCGTCAAATCGTCGAGTGGGAGAACCGCTACGACCCACTTGCATTTGAGTGGCTGTTGTCGCTACTGCCACAACAGCAGTGCCACCAGAGGTTTGTGGATTCTGGCTTGAGGATGTGTGTGGCATTAACATGAACGCCTCTCCTTCAGTATGTGCCTCTGTGTGCGTACAACTTGATAATGACACTGACAATGATGTCGTGCGTGGTATTGAGAATACTTAAGAGAGGCGTCGCACAGCAAGGGCACGAAAGAGGTGTGAGTGATGTAAGCAATAAACTGCAGTTGCAACAATATCAACACATACTATACTTGTGTCCAAGAAGTTCATAGGAGTATGAGGAATGTGGAAGCTACTTCATTAAGTAATACGTAATAGTTGAACAGAGTTGATTACGACATCCTTCGAGTAGATATACTTTTTAATAAAATACTATCTACATGCAACTTGTTCAGATAAATTCAAAGAATGTGGGAGGAGAACCGAAGTAGTCGACCATAAAGTATTTATATTGGGGATGTATATTTATTTAAAGTAACTACTTTCTCAAATTGGAAAAATCTTAAATGGTAATAGGCCTAACATAATGGGATTTGAATATAGTTTTTTATATTAGAAAACTATAATTTAGCATAGAATAATTATACAATTCGAGTTCAATGGAAGTAAATTGCGTTCAAATTATCTTTCAATATGGCCATAGTTTAGGGAAACCAGAAATATCAAGAAAATAGATCTTTTAGAAACAGAATGCAGATAATACTTCTATTATTAAATATAGCATCACCGAATACTTGTTACGGGTTTGCCATGCCATAATAAGTCTGGCCAATTTCACTCAAGGTGAAAATTTGACCTATCCTGTTAATTTTATCCGGTCCAATAAATATCTTCAGGGAAAATAAGTCGGAATGATTCATATAATTTTTTACCAAATTAAGGTGAATGGCAAAATACTTGCAACACATCGTCAAACCAGTGCTACAAAGGAATTACTGGACTACTCATAAACTTAAATCTTATAATTTCAATGACAACTGGAGTGAATCGAAGAAAAACAAACATTTTAGTTCACAATCCATTTAAAACTATAAGCATATATCTTGTGTTAATGGTTTGGGTATGCAATAATCAGCATTAAATAACATTAAAAGTAAAATCGTAATTTTTTATAGTTACCATTTTTATATGAAAACATCTCTATTTCAAAAGAGTGCATAATTTCAATTTAGCAGATATCTACATCCACTAGAGTCCACCCACATACCTTCGCTAACTTTTATATTTGCACAAAATGGCATAATGATATAATTCCAATTATTACACTTGATGCGCATATTTATCCAAAATTGAATTGGTTTCACACGAAATTGCTTTTTGAAATGAACACATGTGTATTCTAGAAAGTATCTCATAATGAAATATTTAACAACAATATACTTTTATTGCGAAGTTCGTTTAGATTTTTTGACTTTGAGTACAGTTTAATCCAAGCGAAACCGTTTAAGAGTAGGACCCCGAAAATATTAAACACTTAGTGTTGAAGTCCCGCTAGATGATTCGAATTTGTCACTTTAGAGCTCTTAGTATTATCAAAACCACATCAACTGCACAAGCATTGCAAGCTCCTCTTTTCTCCATTAAAAGCCTTGAACTATA